AGGCATAGAAAAACTTCCTCTTTCTGGGAGTAAGAGATAAGGAATAATGCGAATGCCCACAGCTGTGGAAACTCTTGGGCAGCCCTTTGGGGTTGCGCTTGGTGGTTCCTCAGTGTTATCCACAAAGTGCAGGATGTACACCTGCATCACCCAGGGATGGGAAGGCACCCTGTGCTGTGCTGGCATCTCAAGCATCAGTATGTAGGAGCTACTCACCAGCACATACCTTGGCAGAGGTTGGTGCCGGCTGTGTTGTAAGCTCAGGGAAACTTTCATGAGTGTTGAGTGATTATAAAGGGCAGTGCTGGTGTGGGCTGTACCTCACTCAGGGCAGTCAGCAGGAGACTCACCACCAGCTGAGTTGCACCACTGCTCAGTCCTTATGCAGCACTTTGAGCCCTGGCATGGGCTGTCCCCAGTGCGAACATCTCAGAAGCCAGAGAATAAAATGTCACAGTCATGCAATATTCATCACAACCAAAACCCCAAATAAGGATACATATGAAGTGCATGAAACAAGAACAGGAGAAAACAAAACATCCACCATGTCCCTGGAACTCATTTGTTGGTCTCAATGCAGAAATATCGGCTCACTCCACCAGGTCTTGCCCTGTGGGGCACCAGCAAACCCCCAGTATAACCGCCTGGCTAAGCACCTCAAGACATTTGTTGATGCTTAGGGAGAAGGCGAGAAGTAAATACCCATGCATAGCTGGGGACACCTCCCCTCGCAGCCTGCTTGGCTACAAGGATTTCTGAAACCCTTCAGCTGAGCTCAAAGCAGAGTTTAACAGTGACTCTCTGATGAACATTGTGCTCTTCTCAGACATCACAGTGTTGAAGAGACCACCTGAATTTGACCTGTTCAGGTTTTGTTGGGTTTTTCTCCTGCATTAGCTTTGAGTCTAGTAATACACCCTGTTTGATTAGTGACATAAATCTGAAACCAAAAGAAGGTATGCAGAGCTTTGCAGTACCTAAGCAAGTCTTACACAGGCACTCTGATGATTTTAGAAAACAGATTTCTGCCCCTGGGAAGGAGAAGCAGGAGGAGACAGGGCTTCCTGGAGCTGTTGCATCTGTGTCTGTGCCCATGGCCATGCTCGTGGCTGTGTCCATTGTTGTGCCCACAACCATGTCTATGCCCATGCCTATGCCCATGCCTGTGTTGGTGGCTGTGTCTCTGCCTGTGTCCAAGTCTATGTCAGAGCCCTTGTTCATATCTGTGTCCACGTCCACGTCCATGCCTGTACCCGTGTCAAAATCCATATCTGTGTTTGTGTTCCCGCCCATGTCCCCACCAGCGTCCATGTTCACATCCCACGTCCCTGCTTATGCCATGTCCGTGCCTGTGCCCGTGCCGCATCCTTGCCCGTGCCCGTGCTCGTGTCAATGCCCATGTCCCCTTTCGTACCCGTGTCCCCGTGTCCCTATCCCCTTCGCGGTGCTAGTGCCCGCGGTGCCTCCCGCCGCACACACTAGGTGTCACTGCGCGACCTGCAGTGGGGCCTCGAGTCCCGCCGCCCGGCTCCGCGCACCGCAATCCCGCTCCGATCCGCTCCTAGCCAGCTCCGGGCGGACTCTGCTCGGATCGGGGCAGTGGCACAGAGCAGTGAAGCTGACCTTCCGCTGGGGGCACGCCCAGCGCACGGGGCTCCGGGGGGCACCTCCACCCCGCAGCGACTCGTCCTGAGCGGGATTTTCAGGGCATTCCCTCTCCCAGACACTGCTGTCTCCCGGGGACTCTGGTCTATCCATCCCGACCCGTCCCATCCCATCCCCATGCCATCCAGACCCCAACTCCATCTCCCTCCACACCCCTATCCCAACCCCGACCCCATCCCAATCCTGACTCCAACCCAAATCGCCCACTAGGATGGGGGCTGTCTCACAGTTGAGTTTAGGGTGCCCCCAGTCCACAAACAGCCCTGGTGTCCCCCAAACCTACTGTGAACCAAGAAGGTGTAACGGCCCATGAGTGAGCAGTGAGGCTCTGCATGGCCAGGGTGCTCGGGCTCCCCAGTGTGAGGGGCTCAGGGCAGTGTTGCTCCCCCCGGCCCCCGGCAATGCCACCCTCATGGAACTGGAAGGAATGGGCCAGAAATAGTCCTCATGGTCTGGTTTCTCCCACACTGCCACATACACCCCACAAATCCCACTTAAGGCACTGGAGTCCACCACCTCCTCCAGCCCCAAGCACAATGAGCCAGAACTGCGTCATTTCTTACACATTATCTTTGCTCACATCAGTACAGAGCATGGCCAAAATGGACAGCAATTTTCTCTCCCTCCATTTCCTGTGTTTGCTCCACATCAAAACATTGTAAATGAGAACATTCTTTTCCATCTGGTAGTTCCACAAAATATTTTTTAATTCGCCTACTATTTCTTGGTGTCTTCCTGCCTTCAGTTATCTACCAACCCAGAGAAAGGGAGAAGCATGACCCATTCCCTGAGCCCTTGCATGCAAGTACCCTGTGCCCACCTGGCACTGCACTGGCTGAAATCTGTATCCCCAAAGTTTTTAGCAACTTTTTTCACTGGGCAAGATGAAATACACTTTATTATTCAAGGCTAATCCAACTCCAGTTTTCAACTCATAAGGATAAAACCAACAAAAACAATGGCAGGGACTTTAAGAGGTTAAATTTCACATCTTGCCTTCATCCGGCTGTGAAATTGCAGTGGCAAGGTCTGAAAAACATACAGTTATGTTTGCTCAGACTAAGGCTCACTCTTTATATTGTTTCCTTATCACTGAAAACTAATAAAGATGAAATCTCAGTGTCAAAAGTCACTGCATACGTGAACAGAGATCGTGTTCGCCACAATTTCTCGCTTTTGTACATATTGGCAGAACCACTGCCATGGTGCTGAGACTCACTCATTAGATAGCATTTCCAAAGCACTTTAAGTTTTGGATTTGCAAATGATTAATACACAGAAAACTTGTGAGTGGTCCGCAGAGCACGAGTGGGTAAGTGGATCCAGCTCTCACTCTCAGCCACTGACTCTTCATAGCTGAAAGTATATGCAGGACTTTCCTGACATACCTTAGGCATGGGATCCATTTTCCTGACATAACTTAGGGACAGGATCCATTTTCCCACGTGCTGCTGAGGTATGCCGAGACCTGGTGAATGGAGAGGAGCAGGAGCGGCAGACCCCAACCCCAGTGCCTGCTGCTCCCGCTGGCTGCTTTGCACAAGGGGAGAAGGCAGAGAAACTGCTCACTGCAAAAAGGAGCCATGCAGAGTTTGAACATCCCCTCCAGCATTTCACTCTGGCTAAAATAACTCCCAGCACCCCTGTTGCTAATTAGAATTAATACTACATTCTTCCTCCAACAGTAGAAACAAAATGTTCCTGCCATGTCCGATCTGATAAGGCTGTAAGGCTCCTCCAGCACCACTTCGTAGGTGGGCTGCTCTCAGCAGGAGACTCTGCCAGCCTTCAGGGAGGCAGAGGGCTCTCCAGGGAGGTGACCCATACCCCTGCATGGGGACTGCCACCACCAGAGTCCTGTGCCAAAGGAACGGGGTACATCAGGACCAGGACATAATGAACAGGTTACATCAGGACTTTGGATGATTGCGTCAGTTAACAAAACATCTATCACACTAAGATGAATTAGTTGCAAAGGGTACAGAAAACATCCATGCCTGGCCTCGACCTCCCTGCTAGTTCATTCCCATGAGGATCAATCCTGGACGGTGTAAAGCGCAGCATGGCCATCGCATCCCACACTGCCATGGGCAGTGTTTGCTTGCAGCCCCTGGCACATCCCAGCACACAGATTCCTCTGGCTGTTAGCGATCACTAAATCTTAATTCAAGCAAAGAGAGGGCAGGGTTAACAACAGCCGCTGCTGCCTGCTGCTCGCAGCTCCAAGCTGTGCCTACATCCACATCCTCTGTTCGGAAATATCCCAAGTCATCGCTTGGCTGGAGGCACCAGAGCAACCATCCTGCCCATCACCAGCCCGGCAGATGCACACCCAGCCCACGGCCCTGATTTGCCATAAACCTCTGAACTGCAGATGGGTGAAGTGGCTGCACCAGCAGCAGCAACAAGGTGGTCCCTCACGTGAACGAAGCCCCTGCCATCCCCAGGCACTTGGATGCCTCTGGGGAAGCAGCTTTGGTACCCAGGGTGCTTGGGCACATCCCCAGGGCTGGGCAGTGGGGTGCAGAGGCACACAGCCCATGTGCCCCCCAGGTTGCCACTCCTGTGAGTGCAGCCCCAGTGCCACCCCAGGTTGCCACTCCTCCAGTTGTCACCTCTCCTGAGCACGGTGGCCTGCAGCAGCACATGGAGAGGCACAGCTCTGAAAAACAATGGCCGAACCTCCAATTAAAAGAGACCAGAGGGCTGGGGAGGGTAAGGTTCAACCAGCTGAGCTCACAGGTCCCGACATGGCTGGGCTGGCTCTTGCTGTAGTCCAAGGACAGGCACTGCGCCCTGCAATGCAGAAACTGCCTCCCCAAAATATGTTCCCCCCCAAAAAAAAAAAAAAAAAATCCAGAAAACCCATGTCCTCAAACTTACTCCCTTAAAAACCCACTTGGAAAATCCTGCTCTCCCCAAATCTGACCTCTGAAAGTCTGTTCCCCCAAAACCAGTCCCCAGATCCCACTCCCCAGATCCCACTCCCCAGGGAGTCACTCCTCAAGGCTTGCTCCCCTGGAAAACGTCCACTCCCGAAACCTGGTTGCCAAAAGCACCTGCTCAGAGCCCACTGGTAAAAAGCCTGCTCCCCCACCGAAGCTCCTCACACCCACCCCTCGCTCCTCCACCGCCCCCCCTTGCAACTGCCCCTCCCGCCCCTCCGCTCCCGAAGCCCCTCTCCCCCCTCGTTCACTAAAGCCTCTCCCCTCCCTCCTCCCCTCCTCGGCCGCTCTCCCCGCCCGGGCGCGGCGGGGCGGAGCGGAGCGGGGCGGCAGGGGGCGGCGGGCGGAGCGGGGAGCGCGGAGCCTCCGCAAGCGCGGGGCAGCGCGGGGCAGCGCGGAGCGGCACGGCTCGGCTCGACTCGGCACGGCCCGGCCCGGCCCGCCTGCATGCGGCGGCGGCGGCGACGGAGCGGCCGGGCGGGATGAACGGCTCGGAAGCGGGCGGCGGCACGGCGGCGGCGGGGCTGCTAGCGGGCGCCGGGAGTGCGGCACTGGAGCTGGAGCGGGCGCTACGCTGCTGTACCGCCGCCTCCGTGGTGACCGACGGCGGCGGGGCGGCGGCGGCGGACGAGCGGAGCCTGTACATCATGCGAGTGGTGCAGATCGCCGTCATGTGCGTCCTCGCCCTTACCGTCGTGTTCGGCATCTTCTTCCTTGGCTGCAACCTCCTCATCAAGTCCGAGGGAATGATCAACTTTCTGGTCAAGGATCGGCGCCCGTCCAAAGAGGTGGAGGCGGTGGTGGTGGGGCCGTACTAACCGCCTCGCCGCGCCGCGCCCCGCTCCGCGCCCGCCCATCCCGACGGCGCGGCCCCGGGGGAGGCAGGCCCGGGCCCCCGCTCCTAGATGACTGCACAGCGGCCATCCTCCGTTCAGACGTGACTGTTTGGTCTGTTGTTTTTATTTGATTTTATTCCTCCTTAAACACAACAGCAAACGAGCCCCGAGAGCCCGAAGCCGGTGAGACGTGCGGGGCTGCCCGGCGTGCGCGGTCCTCGGGGCCGCCCGCCCCGGCTTGCGGGGCTCCGAAGTAAAACCGTGCTCTGATGGCAACAGGTCTGGGTTTTCTTCTTCCGTTCGCGTTAACCGATGCCTCGTATCTTCGAATCCCGGGCGCCGTGGTGGGGGGAGCTGGGAGGCGCCCGGGGCGAATCCGCGGAGCTCGGGGGGAGCCGCTGCCCCGTGTCCCAGCCTCGCGGGTTTTTGCCTTGCAGCTGTGCTAGAAGTTGCGTGCGTGACTGCTCTTCCAGCCGCCGGGGTTGCCCGAGCCCGGGGGAGACGGCTCCCGTGCCCCGAGCCTGGCGGGATGTGCACGGTACGCGGCGGCAACCGGCTCTCCCCGCCGTACCGGCTGTGGCCGGGAAAATAAGCCGGGAGACCGCGGCGTATCTCCCTGTCCGGGTCTGGGCGTAGAAAACCACTACACATACGAATTGCGAGCCCAGCCGCAAGCCTCACCAACAGGTGACTTACCACGGTCACATTTAAGGGAGGGAGAAATTTATGCCTGCACAGGATCTTTTTTTTTCTTCCCTCTTCATCCATTTCCTCTGCAGGGATCACAGAGTATCTGTCGATGAGAGGTTAGTCAGCTCCCCGAGGGCTTGCACTGGTTGCTAGCGATAAATCAATGTATCCACATTTGCTGGAGGAGGAGTGGAACTGGTGTAAGCCCTTGCCTGGGAGCACAGGAGTAGGATTGGGGCAAAAAGTGAGCCTGGGAGAAAACACCTCTCTGACATCCGAAATCAGAGAAGACTGTTAATTGTCGGTATTTTAAATTCTGATGGGCATCGGGCAGTTTTCCAGAGAAGCCATGCAGACTTGAGGCTGCTTAATTTTCTCTCAGTTTATCCCAAGCTGCGTTAAGATGGCCAAGCTGTCAAATCATTATAGGCAACTTTAGGAGATGTTCGCAGAAGTTTCCATTTTGATTGACAAGGTGGAACTCTGCATTTACAAAAGGCACCTGAGCTAGAAGGGGCTGAAATAAAGCTGGAGTGAGGCCATCACCTAACTGCGGATAAACTTTTGGTAGAAAATGAGATAAACCAGAGTATCTCAGCATAGTCTGATTCCCTCACACAAGCAGAAATCACAGCCGTGTCCTCGCTGATTTACGGCTACATTTAAGACAAAGAACAGATCTTCCTGTTCTCTGGGATACAAATATGCTGTGGACTTTGTCATTACATCAAAATAAATGTTACAAAGCCATCTATCAGCTCAAACATATTTGGGAAATTTAACCAAAGCTCTCATTTTTTTTTACCACTTAAAGCATTAGAAACATTGAATAAAGGAGAGTTTTAAGATAATACAATAAGAGAGAAAACTCTTAATATAGATGTTGCAGTCACTGCAAAGCATTTCCGCCTTTTTAATTTGCATCCCTTCATGGTATTGCAGATAACACAATCATTCCCGTAATCTGATTTGCAAGGAGTACACTGCATGTTTGAGCCATTTTGAAAGCTAGATTCATTAAGCATTCTTTATTAATTTTAGTGAGCACTTGAAGCATGATACATTTTGATTAACCTTTGCCAGAAGCCACAGCTTTTTCCAACATCGTAAATCTGAGGTGTGGCAAACTCCTGGTTCTGTAATAAAACCGCTAAATTTTCAACCTCAGCCTAAGAAAGGGTGCAGCCTAGTGCCCCTCACTTGATCCTGCAGAAGGTGAGAGCTTACCCAAGTGCTTGTGACTCTTTAGTCACTACAAAGGTACCTTGTTTTAGGCAGGGAACAGTTGGGAAAAGAGCTCTGGCACCCACTTCACCCTCACGTTGTACAGAGGAGCGGTGTTTGGGCAGGTATGTCCTACTTGGCCCTTGGGCGCTATGGACACCTTGCTTTACAAAGCAGTCTCCCTGCCCAGAGCATACCTTTGTACCTTCTAGACACGTGTGTACAGCCACAGCCTTCATGTTCAAGGGGAGGAAACTTCACATTGAGCATACCTTCTTCAGATCACTGCACATGTCATTTCAAGGACATTTTTGGAAAAAACACGTGCTAAGCTACAAGGAGAGCATCTAGGAGAGCCTGTGCTGTCAACAAGTAAAGCCTCATCAGCTCCCAAAATACACTTGCTGCAGAGCTGAGGTGTCAGGAAATGCTGGGAAAGCAACTTGTTGGGTACCCAAAGTGGGGCTCCACCATCTTTTAGTTGGCTTGAAGATACTCCAAGGGCTGGAGTGCCTCTCCTATGGAGACAGGCTGAGAGAGCTGGGCTTGTTCAGCCGGGAGAAGAGAAGGCACTGGGGAGACCTTACGGCAGCTTCCAGCATCTAAAGGAACCAACAAGAAGGACTTTTGACAAGGGCAAGTAGTGATGGGGGGGGAAGGAGAGAGGTTTTAAAGTGACAGAGGAGAGATACAGATTAGATATTAGGAAGAAGTTCTTCCCTGTGAAAATGGAAGGTGTCCCTGCCCATGGCAGGGAGGCTGGAAACAGATGCTCTTTAAGGTCTCTTCCAACCTAAACCATTATAGGATTCTATGATTTCTCCATAATGTTTCCATCCATGAAGTTCCCAGAGGAGCAGAAGACTATGAGAGTGACCTGCCTGGGAGACCTGACCAGCTCGCAGTCATTGCAGTCAGATGTGAGCTCTTTTAGGGGAAATTTCCAACTTCTGAGGAAACCCTGCCCCTTGTGATGCTCAGTGACTGCTGGGGAGTGGTAGGATGCTGCAGCAGGACATCTTCTAGCAGGATTCACACTGGGACCTCTCACTGCCGCCTCTCAATGGCTGTTTTGGAGAGAATGATGCCCCAAAAGTCTATATAGCCCCAACCAGAGCAAGAACCTAACAAAGTACTATTTGTAATTCTTCCTGAGTACTTAAATAAAAAAGCTAAAATCTCACTTTTCTTAAGTCAAAGCTGAAGCAATCTCCCCTTAGGCTGTCTGCATACCTAATTACTGTCTACAAAGTAATAACACAGTTATCTTGCCTTGAGTTGAAAGAAGGCAGCAGAGCTTCAGGCTATTCTGCTGCAGGCAGACCTCAGCCCTTGTGCTCAGCCTCAGCTTCCAGATCTCCTGGGCATAAATATCCACCAAAGCTCATTCCCAGCATGAATCCGCAGCCTGTCAAATGGCACCTGATTGCTGCCTCTCAGACAGTCTTGCCTTTTCTCCCATTAGCCAGGAACGTGGGCTCGGTAACATGAGAAAAAAGATCTTCAGCACAAAATGTGAGCTAATCCTCCAGGACAAAAATCAAGAGGCATCTTAGTCACTTTCCAAACACCTACCAAATGGGTTTGTTTAATATTTTAGATGTGATACACTTATTAAAAACACTCCAGCAACTGCAATTGCTTTTAGATAAGACTGTGAATGTACTCATGCTAAATTTGTCTAGATGGCTGTACAATTTTAATTGTATGCTTTCTACATATTTTTGGTAATAATAATCAAACACTGTCTGAAGAATGAGCAAAAGGTTCACTTTAGCAGTTCAGACATACACAGGTGCAGGGCTTTATTCTATTTTCATATTCAGGCAAAATTCACATTAATTTTTAAAGCAGTTTAGCTTTAAGAAAGAAGATAAAATCCCACTGTTCATTTGCTTAAAAACCAAAACATCCTAAGTGACAGGCAAACACATTACATTTACATTATTTGCCTTAATATTTATCACTTAAAGCAGCCACTGAGTGATCCAGGATCATGCAGCACACAGCACCAGGCACTCACCCAGCACAGGAGCTGGGAACCCTCAATGAAAGTGTTCTTCCTGAAAAATCTCCATGCTGATATTCAGCCAGGCACGCCATTTTCATGGGCAACCCGTACTGCACTTGAGCCCATATTAACTGTCATTAAGAGATGAGTCATTAAAAGTGCTCCTCCTTTCTCAACAGCTCTGTTTGTGTGTATGAATGGAGCACGCTGCTGCCATCGATCTCAGCAAACCATGACTGGGGCTGTCCAACTGGTATAGATGAAGGAGCCCCGAGGGACAGCAAGTCTTTCAATTCTTTTATATTATAAAACAACAGCGTCCTTTCCATGATGAAAGTGTAAACTTGTCTAAAAACCTAATCTTCTGTTAACTCACCATTCGCAAGTGCTAGCTGCTGCCCACTGCGCACACCTGTGTGCCTGGTGACCAGCACGTAGCTGTTCTCCCTGACAGTGCAGCCAGTTGTGCTGTTTCCCATCTCTGCTGCGCCATTACTGGCACAGTGATACCAGCTCCTCTATTGAAAGAGAGAGAAAAAAGAGAGAGGGAAGCCAGAAAGCAGTGGGAAGAGTACAAAATACAGGGGGGAAAGCACCATGAATGGACACTGAAAGACACCAAACTGAAAGTTAATACAAATTGAAACTCTTTTTATTTAAAAACTGTGTGGATAACCTGTGTGAAAGTCTACCAAAGCCTGTGAAATTGTCAGGTTTCAGAAAAGGGGGAAGTTCCTAGGGAAGACAAGGGCATCATTTCTCACTCAGGTAGGGAAAACACAAGGTGCTTCGGGAAGGAGGTGAATGCCTCAAGGGCTATTTTACAAACACAGGAGTTGGATGGCTGTTGCAGAAAATATATTTAAAGTCTTTAAGAGCACCTCTTTGCATTCAGGCTTTGTTTTATTTTTGTCCCAAACAATCATGTATGCTCAAATGCAAAATTTTAACAGCACCATTTCTCCCTTCCCTTGCTGAATTTAAATCCAAACCAAGCGATATTGGTCACCATACAATTTATCCTTTCTAATATATTTGTAGACAGCTGCTTTATTTTATAGAACACCTTTATGTTTTTAATGCCAAAAATTACTTTTTTGTTTTATCACTGCAGACCAGAGACATTCACTGAAGACACCAAAGGAAGCCTGAGCTCTTCATGATTAAGCGTATCCATCAGTTTGGCCACTGGTGGCTTGGGACCTGTTCCACAGTTATGGACATATTTTTAGCACATGGAAAAGCAGTGTCATGAGCACATGATATGAAAAATACACAAAGCAATGTATCACTTTTGTTTGCTTTATTCAATCATAATCAGGTTAGGGTTCCCTCTCCTCCTCCCCCCCCC